AAGACATACATGCAGATACCTGATCACACACTTCCTGGATGCCCCTGCCTGCTGCTTCCACCCTGACCTATCACATCCTGGCCCCACATTTTCAACTCTGGCATTGAGGTGTCTTTGTTTACTTGGGTCAGGAATGTTTCTTTCTTTGTAGGGGACACACGGGATCTGTTCTGCCTCTCTTCTCTCCTTCTCAGCTTCTTCTTCCAACTCTCTTTGCCCAAGGCTGACCATACTCCCTCATTCTCAAGAACACACAGCGCATCCATTTTCCCTATTTAAGGCAGCCAAAGGCTTTTAAAGATAATGACAATCTCTCAACTGCAATTTTGAGTTGCAAAGAATTTGCGAGATTTGCTGGCACAGGGAGTTACAGGAATGTTCTTCTAGTACTTTGTGGTCTGGATTCCCTGGAGGGTCAGGAATCTACGGCAAACAAGTCATGTGAAAATAATTATACTATAGCACGGGTGGTGGTGGCTGTTTGGGGGATAAGGAAGAGAAGCATCATATAATTTTTGCAGAAGAGGTGATAGTTGAGTCTTGAAGGATGGTGAGAAGTGCAGCAACAGCCTAGACTGGCAGTGGGGTCGTGGGATCCATCAAGACTAACACCATGTGCAGAGAAAGGGAAACATGAAAGAACATACCCTTTGGATGTTGTATAGGTCAGCCCTACCCACAGGTGGGCAAGTTGGCTTAGCTGGTTTGGCTGGCTGAGCAGGTGCCCCCTCCCTGCATTGTACGCATCCTTCTGAGCCTGCCCTCTTCTTAACGCTCAGGAAATCGATCATGCTGTCAAGATTAGAGAGAAAAGCATGGCTTGCCATCCAGCACATGCAGGACAAGACCTGAGGTACAGCTGAAGCATAGAATGCGAGCTTGAAGGCAGCCAGAAATGGAGGGGAGAAAAGATTGGTGGGGAATGATGACTGGAGGATCTTTACATCCAGGCCCTGGGTTCTTTTTGCATCTTGTGGTGCAGTTCTAAGGAGTAAGCCTAGTGCCAAGCATGGGGATCTGAAGGAAGTATGAGAATTGCTATGCTCATCGGGCAATGGCAGTGATCTCTAGGAACCAAATCATCTGGCACCTGGTTCTTGGACTTCCCAAACTCCAGAACTGTGAGAAATAAATGTTTGCCAGGCTATGATGCATTGTTATAGCAGCCCACACTGACGATGATAAGGAATCCAGAAAGAGTGGCAGGTTTGCAGGAGACCATAAATCCTGATTCAAATCTACAGCACTTCCGAGGTGGAGAGGACCTGAGGCCATTAGGTATATTGGTCCTAAGCTCAATTGTGATTCAGGGTTGATGAAGGGGCAAAGAAGGAGTAACTGTGAGCAGTGGGAAGATAGCCTATTAAGTGGATATTTCTAATTCAGTTTCACAAATACTTTAGCAGGCCCTGGTTAGGCACTGTAGCACGTGCAAAGAAGAATCACGCATAGCCTTCTACTAAGGAGCCCACTTTGTTTTTATTATGGCCATGGACTCAGCTTTAACATGTATAAAAAGTGTTTCCAAGAATTATTGCTGAAGTAGGTGTAAGATTTATGTCTACAAGTTTAGGTCTATTTTCCTGGCTTCCCCTGATGTTTGACATAAGTATGTCTCTCTTTCCTTCTTTCTTTTTTTTCCTTTCATTTTACTTATCAGATTAAACCACATCCTAGGATCTGATAAACATGACAATTGATTTGTTCTTTATTTTATATCCTGCACAAATGCCTAACTATACCATGTTTAACTTATAGCAGTCCAAAAAAAAATGCAGGGTGTATCTTTACGGAAATCTCCAATCTTAGAATTTAAAGTGGAGAGAGAATGGAGGAAGGTTTATACAGTTTCCTTATTTTTTAGTGAAACTCCGGCAAGATATTTTTCTGTATGTTGGTTAACTACTTTTAGCTAAACACACACACACACACACGCACACACACTCACAGTCTCTCAATTGATTACTGAAGTTTAAGCTTATGAAGGGTGTAGTAAATATTTTTTAAAATGCTTAAAAGAAATATTTCAGTAAATAAGAAACATTCTAAAATATGAATTTGCATAAAGAGCTAATTGTAGGACTGCAGCACTTGCCTTTGGAAATTAAACTTTGGAATAAAAGATTTTTAAATTTGAATTTAATATGCATACTAAAAGTGCTGAAATGCACTTTCTATCATAAAGAATTGAGAACAGTAATTCAAAGCAAATGATGGTGTCTTGGTCCACCAAGAATTTGCATATTTTGCCAATATTTAATGTAATTTCTTAGAAGATTCTTTTCTAAAGTATGAGATTTCTTATTGGGAAAAAATGTGGGTGGATTCACATAGAGAATTTATCTTGAGTCTCTTTATAAACATTTTAAAGTTCAGTTCTTCTTTAGTCACATTTTAGCCAGTGGAATGCAGGTAACACATTTTGTTCTTCTTTCCCCAGAAACTGGTGTGTTTATTCTTTTATGGACTCAGAGGGACTTTTGAAATTAACTTCAATTTTTACAGCCCTCTTTTCATATCCCATGTGTGAATTTACTGTGGAGTCTTATGAATGATGGAATTTCAGCCGCCTTCCTACTGAATTGCTTTGCTTGGGTGAGTATAGAAAACCTTTGCAATGTGGTTCAGACCCGAGTTTTAGCACTTAGGGGAAACTTTTTAGAACAAGCCAGGATATGAATCAATATGAAGGAGGCACTTGAACACAAAACACACTTTTAAAAATTCATTGAAAAATTGAAAGCATTTTTCAATTAAGGGCATTTTTATGTCCCCCATTTTTATGTCCTCTTTTTTAAAGTATTGATTTTATTATTGCTCAAGATAGAACTCTAAGTAAAATCGCAACCCTAAAGCCTTTGGGGTAATGGTTCTAATTAATATAATTAATATCTTAGCAAAATATCATGGGTTATAATTAAAAGAAATCATCTGGGTCTAAAGAATACCTACTGAGGGCAGCCCTATTAAGAATAATTCTGAGGAAGCTAAATTAATTTCCTGGACTTGCAAAGCAGCAAAAGGAAGGTTTTTCTTCCTTATAAGCCTGAAGGGTTTGATGTTTGGCCCTGTTGAGATCCAAGGACTATCTGGGCTGATTAACATGTATATAATTAAAGAATGCCAGCTAGGGCAGAGCCAGTTCTATTTGGTTCTGTACTACTGTGAAATAATTTCTTTATGTCTGCATTATTTACCGTGTGTGTGTGTGTGTGTGTGTGTGTGTGTGTGTCTTGGGGGTAGGTGTGTGTGTGTGTGTTGGGGGTAGGAGGTCTAGTTTCCCTGGACATCATCCTGCTGCCTTCTTTAGGATTACTGCCATTCAAAGTAGATTTTCTTTCTGCTTATATTACCATTTTTAAGCCACATTTTTCATCACATGGTAAGAAACACTGTAAATAATTGAGGTGATCCATCAAGAGCCCCATTCTTGATAATGAAAAATTGCATAACTCAGTAGAAGTCAATTAAAAACCACAAACTTCAGAAGCCTTTGCTCAGTGAAGATTTATTATTATAGAAGGCATTTAATACAATAGATTGGGAGGAGGTCAAAATTTTTTAAAGTTCTAAAAATTCAGTTAAAGCTTGACAATGACCTTGAGTAATAATATTTACACAATATCAAAGTCTATTAGTTCTTTGAAATGAAAAGGGTTTATTTTTTTTCTTTCTTTAACATTAGGTATCTGAGATGTTTAAGATTTTATAACCAAATTTGAAACGACATCCCACTGTGGGACATGTTTTTTTTTTTTCCGTTGAAGGTTTTAAATGATTCGTACTCTTTGGTTGTGCCTATACAATGAAAAGTAGACAAATGAAGTGAGAGAAGTCAGGATATTTTCCTCTGTTCAACCAACTATCTCAACAATTAGAACTTGCTAGATAAATGAACTCAAAATGTTTTTGTTTTCTGGTTGCTTGGTTAGGACACAACCAACATTTTAATAGAATGTAATAACTTATACAACTGCATATAATTTTTAAAAAATAAACACTGACTTTGTTTCTTTAGCTACATCCAATGCTGCGTTAAGAGCCTAAGGAGAAAACGCCAACTATCTAAAATGTAATATCTATAACATTTTCTTCCTTTTTAGTAGTTTTTCATGCCCAAAATATAAAATTAACAAAAGAGCAATACTTATCTTCAATAACCAAAAATATGTATCCATTGACTCTGAGCCTCATAATCTTCCCAGCCTAAGTTTACAATGAGCCTAAAGGCTTAGGTAGGTTCAGCAATCAGGCTGACAGATGCTTAACTCCAACCACCAGCACACATGTGACTTGCTTCCTACTGAAATTAAACTGCCAAATAAAAAGGAGGAATTGTCCCCTTTAATAACAAAGAACACAATCGTTAGAATTCTTCAGATTTGGAATTCCAGCAGCGTTGTGTTTTCCTCTTGATGTGTGACAAAAACGAATAGTATAAAAAGTAAAAATGAACCTCATCTAAACAAGCAGTCCTTTGACTTTATAAGGCTCAACATCAAACATCAAATTCTAAAAATACCTAAGACTAGTGACTTGTCAAAGCTGAGGGGAGAACATGCTGGGGAGAGGGCAGATTTTTCTAACCTTTCGATTTATTTTAACCTACTAGCATTAACTTTGCTCATTTCTGTTAAGACACTACCAATCCCACTTACTAGGCACCATATTTCATATTCCTATATGGGCATTTGACTTTGACCTCATAAAAAGTCCCTTGGGTCTATAATACTTTTATTCTTGTATAATCTGAAACAAATCCTTTCCTTTTAAAAATCAAACAGACCACGTTATACACACAGTTGACTATTTACAAAGCACCCAATTAAATCCTACTTAATTCTCACTCTAAAAATTCCTTGTAACTGGTGTGTAAAGTACTGATCACATTAAATGCACAATGTTCACAGGCCCTGACAGTCCCATCTAACCTAGAAAATATTACCTTCCTTAGAAAAGAAAGTCTTAGAAGTAAGGTTTTGAAGAAATGAGACCAGAAATCACAGTACAAGACAGATAAATCTACTTTAATATTCACATGTAAAAGTTACACATCACAAGAGATTGGACAGTTTACCGGTAACTAACATAGCTATAGTGAAAATCATTTTTATAAAAAAATAATCTAGAGGTGGTCATCAATTTTTGGTCTACTTAAGTTAATGTTTGAAGATCGACTTTTATCCCTGCTTGAAGGGTTTGCCACTATGCCTTTTTATTTTTTTCTCTCACTGTTGCCTATTAATATTCTTTGGAGGAAGGAGAGCAGAAAGTGTTCATTTCCAAGAGGTTGTCCTTTGGTAGCAAGCAGAGAACATTTTTCATTTCTATGATTTAAATAATCTGTACAAACATGAAACTGTAGTGTAAAATGAAGAATGATAAGCTTTTTTTCCCCCACTTTGATTTAACAGATTTCATAAACTCCTTAAGGATCCAAGCATTTCCCTATCCCCATATGCAAAATCATTCAGAGTCCATGTTGACCTCAATCAAAACACAAATAACAAACACTGACTCTATGTATTGTATTACACTATCAAGCCCTGTACTTAAAAACTGATAAACTATCTTTCCAACATGTATGCTTCAAATACAAGGATTTCAATCTAGGTTAAAGAAAAGGCATTTGAATGGACTCAGAACAAGTTTATTTTGTGATTAAACATTTCATGCAGTCATGCAGGACCACTAGCTATAACTGTTACTTCCGATTCTACACGGTACTTCGCAAAACAAAAACAAATTAAAAGCCAAGCCAAACAGAAAAGACATTCAAAATATCAAGAGCTCTGCAATTGAGCTGAAAAATAATTTTCCAAAAGAAATATTCCCATAGATTTAAAAAAAGACACACATAATATTTACAAAAAAATATTTAATTAAAAATATCTTATAATTACAGTAGTCTATTAAAGCATATACTTTCTCACACTTATAGAACATCTCTCTATATATACATGGTATGAAATGTCACTCAGTTATCTATACAATATGTAACATTCTTGCAGGGAAAAAGAGAAAGTTCCCTGCCCCATTTTAATCATCTATTTTAAACAATAGATGTAAAAAAAAATATCTACAATGCTCTGGTATATTAGTAAAGCTTCAAAACAAAAATTGAGCTCCTTGGTCACAAGTAGGCTTCTAAAGTCGCATTTACTCTTGCCTTTCTATTTATCAGTTCTGTTACACTTAAGCTTAAAAGTTTAACTGCACCTCAAAAAAAACAAACACAGAAGTGTATAATTCACAGCGGTTACAGATGAAGAGACAAAAGAGAATACGGGATGTAGAGTATTTATGAACGTGCAAAAAAAAAAAAGATGAAAGTTTTATTCTTTCCTTTCCCTCTCTCTTGGAATGACGGGTGAAAACGTTTCTAGGAGTTGCCGATGTTTTCTCCTTTCCTCCGGTGCCTTTTGCTCTAACTTCTGCTCTTCCCCCTCCCTCTCTAGTCTCCTGGCTCCGGCTCAGGCGGCCGCACACCTGTGGAAGAGGAATGAATAGAGGGGGTGTGGGAACCTTCCCGCTGCAGACTAACTGGCGCCACCGACCAAACTCAAGACATGCTTGATCAACAACCCAAAACAAACCACCGGGTCAGACAACACCCGCAGCCCCGCGGCCGGCCAGGCGCCGAGCAGGCAGCTGCGGGCCCCCGGGAAGCCCGGAGAGGGGACCCACTCCGGGGCGATGCCCGCGTCCCTCGCTTTTGTGGTTGCACCGGGGGGACATCGGGCAGTGTCCACGCCCTCAGCGGGGGAGAAGGCAGCCAGAGCCCGCGGGTCACCGGGGGAGGCCAGGGGGTGGCGGGGACCGGAGCGGATCCCTCCCCATTTAGAGTGAAGCCCCAGTTACTAAAGCGAAGTACAGCTTCAGTTGCTAACTGGCTGGCAGGGAGAGACGGGGTGGTCCGCCTTCTTGGGAGTTTGCCCTCAGAAATGCTGGGGGCAAAGAACTCGGTGGTGCCTGGCACCGGAAGCCCCGGAGGACCCGCGTCTCGGGTGACCGGCCACTCGAGAAGGGAAAGAAAGGCGCGCTCACCTGGACCGCGCGGCTCAGCGGCACAGAATGCTGTCGCCCTGCTTGTTCACCGCGCCGGCCTGCAACAGCAACGGACACCAAGGGGAGGTTAGCAGCGCAAACACGCACTCGTCGCTGCCCTCGATTCGCTCTGGGAAATCGGGCTGGCGCGCGAGTGCCCCCACCCTAGCCTGCAGCCCTGGGGACCCCTCCTCCCCACCTTCCCACCCCCGGGGAAACAGGCTGGACTTGACAGCCCAGGAAGCGCCCAAGCCCAGTCCCGCCCCGCGCCTTCACCCGGACCCGGGCTCCCTGTGCCCAGCCAAATGTTGGCGGCTCCAGGCGCCCGGAGAAGGGGGGTGGGAGTGCGGTCCTTTTCGCCCACCCAGGCCCCGGAGAGGGGAGCTCCCGCGGCCAGTCACCACCCTCCTGACCCCGCGACGTGCGCCCGGGTGACGCCGGGCTCTCACCGGGTCGTGTGAGCGCGTGAGCGAGTCCGCGGCTGCGCGCTGGACAGTTCCCGGCCG